ATTTGCATAGATAAAGAGCTGCCCTCGCCAAAACGACGAATAATTTATCTTGAATTTTCTTAGCGCACGTTTGTTTACCCCGAACTATATGTCCGTATATACATATCTAAGCCTATATCTATGCACATGGGTTTGTTATTTTTACACATTTCTGTTTGTTGCTCGACGGACGTTGCCAGGCGATTAGCGCGTGTTTCCGAAAACCGAAACAGAATTCCCCAGATTCGGAAGATGTGGCAGGTGCGCCATAGCGACTGCCACTCCACCCGGTCCGCCGATCTCGGAATCGCGGCCGAGCAATTATGACTGCGTTTTCCCCGATTCTGTTTGCCTTTCTCGCGATTTTGCCATCGCAGTCCTACCTCTACAATAGTTCAGGGGAAAACAATTTGCGAAAATCGGTGGCGAGAGAAGTGAGAAAAAAAACAGCCAGTGAAGTGAAGGAGACCCTTCCTAATTGGAAACTACGGATTTGTAACATTACAAAAAATCTACATTTCCTGGCTAAAAATAAAATATATGCTTAATAGTAAGCTATTTGATTATACATTTCTAATTAAAGTTATCAAAAATATTCTTGGTACCAGTTAAGTCCCCAATAAGAATTTCTGTCTCGGCTCAATTAACATATATAAATTTTTAACATTTTAAAAAGAACTTTTTTTATTGGTTAGAGATAAAAAAATATATTTAATAGAAATCTATTTGGTTTTTTATCCATAGTTTCAATATCTTACATTCTAAAATATTTCCGGCACCCAAATCCTATAAATATAAGACTTTCCAGTTGAGTCCCCAATAAGAATTTCTCTTTCTCCTCAATAACAAAATACTTTGATTTGCTCAACTTATTCAGATATTTTTATTGGCTTTGGTATGGAACATTAAACCGCAAAGGTAAGGGTATTTACGAATGTTCGGCATGAGCTGCCCGTGAAAATTTGCATACGTTCGAGGAAATTCGAGGGTTTTTTCACAAACAGCTGCTGGCTAAGTGGCATTCCCATCACTTTTGGCCAGATGCTGCTGGTTCGGTTTTCGCTCTTTAAAAACATTAAAAGTTTTCTTTGGCGGAGGAGGGTGTGTGTATTCACACCCACTGTAAGGACTCGTTGACATTTTGTGGCGTTGACAAAATGCCAGAAATATTTCCCATTTTCTTCCCCTGCCTCCCCCATTTTGACCCAATACTTTCATTTCATTCACTCAAAAAGCCAACCTAATTCAGTTTTTGCAAATGAATGCACACAGAGGGGAAATTGGGGGAAGCGTGAGTGATTTGGTGTTGTTAGAGCAACGCTTGAATTTCAAACTAACTTAATTTAATCTCGTCTTGGTAAGTTCTGTTTACTCCCTCGATCCTATGAAAAAATTAATACCCCGTTTTGAACAAGTAAAAAACTGAAGTTTGAACCATATTTCTGTGCATAATTAAGATTTAAAATAATAAGTTAGTTCCACTCCCTTTAAAAACGATACTTTCCTAAGGGCTTATAAACCTAAATCAGATTTAATACTGGCTGCCAACTATCAAAAAAGTTTGTTTCTTATGGCAAAAAAAAATGGGGAAAACTCTATATTGAAAAGCATCCAACTGAATTGAAAATGTTTTTCCTTTGTTCGGTTTTGTTGGGCCAACTAAGCGGTTTTGATCGACCACAGTTGCTAATGTTTGTGCAGTTCGTATGCTGTTTTAATTGCTTCCGGCTGCAAATTGGATTAGATTAGGCCAAACTGACCCTTGGCAAAGGGTTGGGTTCAGCTGGGTTGGGTTGGGTCCATTATGGAAATGGTCAAACGGATAGAGGGGGCGGAAAACTAGGAACACAAGGAACACCGCCGGTGACAACTGATGGATACACATCGGAAAGGGCACGGGGTTGGACATTGCACTCGCCCCGCTGCTGGCAGTCCACCCAACTGGCACTCAAATTAAATTGCAATGCATCGACTCGATAATTATAATGACCAAAACATGTCGTGTCTACATCAGTCGCAACTGAAAAAGTACAAAATACAAAGTAAAACCCACAACACACGGGGGAAACCGCATTAGCCAAACAGCGGTGCCGCAACCCTATCGCGTTGAAATAAATATTAAAATGCAATAGATAAGCGTGAAATTAATGGCCCCAACTCGGGTGAGTCGAGCAATCCAAGAACAAAGCATGAAATGGCGCTAACCGTCAAATACCCTTTTTTAAAAATGTGGTTAGGGAATTGGAGAGGAACGAGAAACCAATCTAGATAAAATCTCTTAAAAATGAATTTTTTACACACAAAGCGCGTGACATAAAGAAGGGGAGACAAAGAAAGAAGCTCCCACTTTAAATATGTTATTTAGGGTGTTAAAAGCTAGGTCACAGTCAAAAAAAAATGTCTATGAAGGTCAGGTCATCTACTGAGAATTTATGTTTTTGATAGAAAGACTGTTAAGAAAATATTTTAAATGTTAATCATGTTAAAGATTAACATAATGGTAAAAAAACTGATGGTTAATTCAATAAAAACTAAATGTATATATATGCACAAATTTAAAGTTTTTCCCACAAGAAATAAGTACATTACTATTATAAAGGTTGCAACTGATACAAATTTTTACCACTTTGAATGAGTTCCAGAGTGCTACCGATTTTTAAACAATTCAAGATATTCTGCTCATGATACGGTGCGATCGCTTCGCAGTTGACAGCAGTACTCGAGGGGCTTTTTGGGGGCAACGAAACGTCTAAAAATGGGGGGAATGAAACTGCTACTCAAGTGACTAAAGGCGTGAAAAAGGTCAAAGGCAGTGGCAGCGGAAATGGGGGTGGGCTGGTGGGATTTTCGCCTGCGGCTGCTGCAGACATTTTCATCCTCAGCTCATTTTTTGTATTTTGCCCTCGCAAAAATGCTAAAAAGGGTTCCACCCCTCGCTCGTGTAGTTTTCGGCAGCAGAAACAGCTTTTTATCATATTTATTTGCATTACTCGGATTGTTGTTTCACTTTTTGTTTCTAGTTATTTATATAAGCCAGGTCTTTGTTTACAACAATTTTTTTGGGGACAGTTTAGGCCCAAACAAGGGGCTGTCATTTATGTAATCTCCTATTTTAAGCATTGTTTAATTTTTTGGGGCATTTGCGGGTATTATTGTTTGCTAATGCGCGGGCAGCTGACTTTCTTTTATTTTTGAAGGGGAGCTTGTGGTTGAGAATCTTTATCTTTACAGTGCGGTGCTATCACGGTTGTTCTTATCACTGTGATTATGGCCGATTTTCAATCACTTGACGCGGAAAGGTGGCTGGTTTTCTTCATACAATTTATGGATGTTGCGCTATGGCTCCTCTGCAGTCGGTTCACTCAAAGAAAAGGAGAATGTAAGTGCAGTTTCAGAGTTTCAGAGAAGAGGAGGTTGCTGCTACTGCTGCTTCTGCTGCTGCGATTGGCGTTTTTGGCCGGGCGGCGCGCATCTGCAGGCAGCAGGCGGTGGAAAATCCGAGAGGAAAACTGAGGAAAACCCGAGCGACCCGGCGGTGAACGAACGAACCTCTTGGCTGAAACTCTGCGGAGCAACTGGAGCAGCTGCCCCACACGAATCCACGAGTCCAACGAATCCGCATGTGAGTCCACGAGCTCACGCAGCTACGAACGCACCGAAAACATTCGCAATGGCAATTGCCTTAACCCACTACCCTCAAGGGGGTTCAAATTGGCGAAAAGAAAACCGAAAAGCTTTCCACGGAAACTCAGAGAGCGCTTCTGCCCCGAGAGCTTTCACTCTCGCAGTTTGTTTTTGTTGGGGTCTTTGCGTTTTCAAATGGGCGGGAATTTCGATTTCCCTATAATCATGATTAACTTTGTACTAAAAATGTGGAAGAATATTTTCTAAAACTTTCAAAATATTATTTAAAAATATAATATCAAAGTAAAAATAATGTCATATCACAACAAAGATCGTCATTTATAACCCACATTAAACAAACCCTTTTATTTATATAGTCTGAGTCAAGCTTTTTACTAAGAAAGGTAAACTAAGGGGGAGTCTAGAAAAATACTATAAATATACGAAGTAATGTTCAAAGAAACGCTTTGTTCCAACAGTTTGTTACCATATTATTAAGGTCAAGTCTAAAACTTTGTAATACAATTCTTTATCTGTTTGTTATTTTGACCATCTCCAGATTAGTACCATCATATGGCAACCATAAAATACAATTAGGAAGAAATAAACACTGGAAATAGATGTTGGGTGCTGGAAAGATCCTGAAGGCGTACATAAAACTAGCACTAAGTGAAACCCTTAACCTCGACAACCTCCTGCACATAAGACAAACGGTAATGTCGGTCGTAAAACCGCTCGAAATCCGCGCTCCTTAGCTTTAGTGGCGAAATCTGGTTGGGAATGAAGAAAGTGCGCCTGTTGACAGTTGGAAGACGCGGCCAGACGACAGACCTAACTATAAAGAAGTGTCACATAAAATTTACATTAAGCAAATGTAACGAAACAGCGCTAAAAGCAGTCATATATAATCCGGCACACACTCGACCTACAAGATACAGACTGCCGCTGGGAACTGGGAACTTGGAACTCGAAGAGTTCCACGCACCAGCGAGGAAAATCTCATTAAGCCCTGCTATGAATTTTAAACAAGTTGCAGGACTCCGAACCGAACGGATCCGAGGCCTGGCGAGTGGGAAAACTAGTTCAGCTGGCCAATGGCAACAGAATCCCCGATTCTGGGGAGAGTTGGAAACATTGGATGGGGATGATGGGGCGCACGCTGTTTCCCTGTGAGGTAGGACCAAAGGAAAAGCTGTTTTCGGAGCTTTAAGCTACTTGGAAAATAGGGGGAAAAGTCACTGAGAAGAATGAACAACCAGAATAATGGGAGCACTCCAAATAATTGGTGTTCTCAACTTATAGAGCAAACATTATATAAATTTGCCAATTAGTTTAAATAAGACCGTAAAATGTTCTGTATATACGAAGCATATTAGAAATGTTATAAAAAAACTTACCTTATTATCACTATCTGTGGTATTACCCGATCCGAAACTAGCCAGAGAGCAGCGATCATGATCGTTCTCCGTGAGCTGTTCATCCAAATCCCGTGAGGATCTTTGCGAGGAGCCCGAGTGTTTGGCTGGCGACTTGGGCAGAGTTAATGAGGTGCCCGAGAAGCACGTCTCCTGCATCACTTCACGCAGTTTCTTCACCCAAATCTGAAAGGTAAGATATACAAATTACTAGAAATATCAAAAAAACCAGAAACTTATTTTTAAGACGGTAAGAAATATAAATAATATATCCAAGACTCTTAAAAATATATATCAAAGCACTAACCTGCTTGGTTTCCAAGCTCGTTGCCTTCAAAACGATCCTGCAATCTGAGAGCATCGGGGAACGACCCGTCCACACGGCGAACTTGGTCTCATCCCCTTCGATGTGCTCCGTGATGCCCATGTCGGTGGTCATGAGCTTGCTCTTAAACTGATACTTGACTACGCTAGACTCCTTGACCTCCTTGGCAAACAGGAGATACAATTCGAACAAGAAAACACGTCGCTCCCTGCCCTTTCGGATGATTTGCTTGGTGTCCCAGGCTTGGAAGGCGTCCTGCAGCACAACTTCGCCCAGTTTGTCTATGGATACATCACAGTTTTCCAGCAGCGAAAGATGCATGGCATCATTGGCTTTCTTGGGGACATTAAGCATCACCTCGAGACCCTCTTTGATTTCGCCGTGGCTTTCCTCGCAGCAGGACAGAAGATCCTTAAGTAACAGCTGGTATTTGGTGATCCTCTGCACGGGTTTGATGAGATAGGCGGGCAGGGGATGGTCCACCTCCAGGCGCCGCTGCAGCTCCTCAAAGAAGCTGCCGCCGTGCTGGACTAGCAGATTATTCGATGTGGGCTTGTTCTTGCAGTAGTGCACGTACATGTCAAACTTGGAGGCCCAGGTCACAAAGCAATGGCCCACATCCTCCGGCATGGTTTCGTATTTCTCCAGCTCTCGCAGGAAAATCTTCTGATGGAAGTGGTGTATTTCCCTGATATTGCCGAATATCACATCTTCTTGTCCAATGAGTGCGGGGGGTACATTTCTCCCAGCTCTGAATTCCTCCAGGAAACACTTGATGCAAGTGGCCAGATCGTTCACGTAGGCCCTCTCTGTTTGCATAAGTTCCGCCATAATGAACTCTTTCCTTCTCGCCGACTTGCGCTTCTCCTCGTTAATCTCCTTGTTCTCCTTGTTGCTGCTGTTTAGCTTGGCTTCCAGCGTAGGATCCGAATGACGATCCCCACCGCTCACCCCGGAGGAGGAACTAATCGAGCTGTTTCCATCGGATCCCAAAAGTAACTGCTGCTGGGACATGCCCAGAGATTTCTCCAACTGCTCGCAGTAGCTGTCCATGCGGTTGCTGAAATCCTTGTACCGCTGATCTACCGACGCCACCCATTGCTTGATATCGCTGGCATGGGCGTGACCCTTTTCCACCAAACTATCGGCTAGTTGGATCAGAAGCTTAACCCTTTCACGTGTCTCCTTCGCCGTGCTTCGGAATTCATTGTGCTCTTTGAGCAATCCCTCCGTTTCCTCTTTGCTTATGCCCACTAAGTTGGATCTCGAGGAGAGGTATGCTTCTCCGGTGTTGTGAATCCATTCGATCGCCTGTTTGGCACTCCTCTCGAAGAGAACAAACTGCTGACACTGATCCAGAGACTTCTTGCGCAGCGTCCAGTAGTCGAGAACTTGATTTTCCTGAGTCAACAGCTTGTCCAGTTTGCTCTTCACATGGGCTTCACAGTTCCCTTTATACTGATAGCACTGCTGCGATCGGTTGGCATACTTCAGGAAAGTCTCGGCCGTACGGCGCGCCAAAGTACAGGCCTTCAGGAAGGCCTCCTTCTGCTCCTGATGCTTCGAGATTAACTGGACAATGGTTTGGGCTTTATCGCTGCCTCCGCCACCGCCACACCAGTCATCCTCCCGCTTGTACTCCCGCTCCAAGCTGTCCAAAACCGAACACACCTGCTCGGCTGTTTTGTAGAAGTTTATGGAGGCGGTCACCAGCTTGTGACGCTCCTCCGCGTAGGTCACCAACTGCTGCCACTTCTTTGTCACATCGTCGCTGATTTCTCTAATAGACTGCGGGTCGTAGTGGTTGGCATTGATCAGGGCGTCCGCTCGGTACTTCACCTGCACCGCCGAAGTGTGCGTCTTCTCGATGGCAATCTGCAGGAAAATAAATTATTAATAATTGTGAAGCAAGAGCTTTTTATACTGAATTCCAACCTGGAACTGCTCATGACCCTTGCGCAGCTGCTCGGCCTCCTGCAAACTGTTGGGTGTGACGAAGCTGGCCACCAGCATGGCTTCTCCATTGCGGATCCACGAGATCACCTGGTTGGCATCGTTCTGGAATTGACATAGCTGCACCGCTTGCTCGAGCTTAGCCCGCTTAGCCTCGGACATTTCCTCCAGATCGATCTCGCGTTCCCGCAAGAAGTCCAGCAGATATTCAATCCTAGCCTGAGCCGTGTGCGTGGCATCCGCCATGGAGATGAAGCCAGCGTTCTCGAAGAGCTGCAGCAGGTCCTGACCCTGCTGCAGGACCTCGTAGGTGGCGTTCTGAATGTCCGTCACCGATTCGTTGTGCATGCGGATGAGCTGTTCGGCTTTCTGGTAGTCCCTGGAGAGGTCAGCGTGCTGGAGCTCCTCGGACCAGATCTCCAGCTGCGAGGACAGCTCCATGGCATCCCGCTCAAAGTACCGCAAACGCAGGATGAGATCGGCGCGGAACTTGCGAGCGGACCAGAGCTCCTCCAGCTCCAGCTTCTGTTTACTCAACTTCTCGAGGGTGGCCTCCAGAGCGGCAATGGAACCCGTATTGTCGGCATACTCCAGGGATCGCATTTCCTGCAGCAGAGCTTCGCCCTGGGCGATAGTTGTAAGGCAAACATTCACGGAGCTCTCCTGCTGATCCCTCTGATATTGCTGCAATATGCGTTCGATGCCCTCGAGGTTCTCCTGCGAGAGACGCGTTTCATCAGTGCTCACATCCGTTCGAAGTTTATCTATCCAGGCGGTCACGTCCTTTTCGTGGGTGTAGAAAATGACAGCCATCTCCAGGCGGCGTCTCCTTTGCTCCACTCTCTCCGCAAAGCTGCCCACCTGGAGTTCCAACTCCCTAGCCACAGAATATATCTCATTGGGATCGGCCTCGCCGCTTCTGGCCAATTCATCCGCGGCTGCCAGAAGCTTTTGGGCGTTACTATAGGTGTTCTGTGCAACATTCTCAAAGTTATCGTGCGAGGTCTGGTAAACCCTGGCTTTGTGGAAGTTCCTGCCTATACCCGTATTTTTCCTGAGAAAAACTTCGCCATGATTTTTCAGCCAATCCAGGACCTGCTTCACATCTTCTTGGAAGAGTCTTAGGGCTAGGGTCTGATGCAATCGGAGCCGTTCCTGGTGCCACTTGGCCTCCAGAGTGCGATGGTGACCCAGGATCTGGTGAATTACAGCCAGTACATGACTGGCGCCTTCACTGTAATCCGCTGCTGGATTCTGTCTCTCGTACTTGTTAAAGCTGCCACCGTTGCTGTTCTTTCGATGATCCGGGACACCGGGCGGCGGAGGTTGATTGCAGACCTGCACCAAGTGGTCCAACTGGTACAGCAGCTTCTTGCTGGTGGAGTGAACCTCCGTATAGGCCTGGCACATGGCTTCGTACAGGGATTGGTGTGTCCGGATGGCCGTCTCCAAGCTCTGGATATCCGAGGGAAGGGGCTGGGAGGCCTGACAAGCGGCTGCCCAACTGGCCACGCTGTTGCAATACTGTTCCGCCTTGTGATGGAACAGAACACTCAACTGCAGAACAGCAGTTCTCTCATCCAAGCCCGCGGCGAAGTCCTTCCAGGTTCGGTCCAAGCGTTGGGCCAGCGTTTTAATGTGCTGAGCTGCATAGTGCTGACTCTCAATCAAGCGAGCTGCCACGGCCAGAATCCTATCGATATTCACCGACACATTCATGGAGGCCACGGCGAACTTCTGGTGCTCATCCTGCAGAGACTTGGCCACCGAGTAGTTGTGCCCAATCTCCACGTAGCTCATCTGGAACACATCGCGGTTGTGCAGGATCCAGTCGAACATCTTCTCGCAGTCCTGCTCGAACAGGCGCCACTGGAAGCACTGGTCTAGTTTCACCTTCTTGTGCTGCCACAGCATCAGCAGCTTCTCCTGGCCGGTGTGGATGAGGTCGATCTGCCGCAGGGCTTTGTTCACGGCGGCCGACATGTCCGGATTGCCGCTCGCCGAACGAGATTGCTGCGGCTGAGATTGCTGTCCGGCAGAGGAGGGGCCCGAGTCCATATCCGAACCTCCGGAGCTCGAGGCCTGTAAAAAATAATGTCGATTAGAAATGTGATTTTAGGGGTGAACAAAATTCAAATTCAAGGAGGCGCAGCTTTTAATTGGTAAAGACTATTGTGTAAAAAGCTATCAGTTGGTATTGTATTTTTTGAGGGTTTGGCTTTAAATGGAGCAACATTTTTTTGCAATAATGAAAACAAAGCAAGCTTTTAAATATTTATAATCAATGAATGGAAAATAGATCACTTTGTTTATTGTTACGCAATTAATGTATAAATAATTCAGACGAATTGAATTTTTACGAGTTCCAATAAAAATAACCTTTTTACATAAAACAAAAGTAAACATATTAAATGCAAATGTAAATCTTTTCTAACCTGCTGCCAGACAAAGCAACCTATTTCCATATAATAACCCGAAACTTTTGGGATGGAGACTTTTTTTGGCACAAAATTCAGTAAAGTGAATGCTAGCAGAGGCTATTGACTTCTTCTGTTATCCGTATTAATGTATAAATGTGTATGTAACTAAAATACAATCTTGTACGAACTTTTTTATTTGTTTACAAATTATAATTACAGAAGAATGCTATTCGTAACCAAATACGTAAGAATCCAACAGGAAAATTAAGTTCTTTGTTTAAACCTTAACGATTCAGAGATTTATCACCTACTAAAACACCATAAATATTTGTGTTAATAAATCCGTATTTGCATTTACAGACCTTTTTTAATTAAAGAGAATTTTTAAATTAAATATTTTCACTGTGTTTGTGATCTTTCAAAGCTCAAAATAATCTGCGATTTCTTGAACAGAAACGACTGCTCACCTGACCACCTGGCGGGGCCATCGCGTTGATCTTGGCCAGCAGCTTCTTGCCCTGCATGTCGAGGTCCTCGATGGGCAGCTTGGTGATCTTCTTGCGCATCTCGTTGTGGTGATCGATGGCGTGCCTGGCCAGCGGCACGTCCTCGGCGAAGTCGTTGCGGTTGAGGTCCTCCTGCAGGTCGTCGATCCGGTCGGCCATGTCCCCGGCCTGCCAGAAGAAGTCCTCGATGGCCAGCCGGGCGTCCGTCCACTGCTGATGGTCGTACAGCTGCTGGCCCTCGAAGTCCCCGGTCAGCTGGTGACTCTCCGCGATCTTGTTGAGGGACTCGATCGACACGGTCGTCGTCTCGAACTTGTACTTGTGCGAGGAGATCGAGGCACGCTGCTTCTGCCAGAAGTTGTCCGGCTTGATGATCACCACGTTGTGGATATTCGCGCTGAAGTGCTCCTGCAGCACCTTCAATATCGTCTTCACGTTGGTCGAGCAGTTGCCATTGCCTCGCATATCGATGATGACTGTGAATCCGAGGTTCTTGGCGGCGTCGCTGCAAAAAAAGCCAGGTGAAAGGTGTGTTCGGTTAGAGAGAGCGATCGGAAGAGAACTTTAAAACGGGGAGTTTACACTGGGAATATGATTGCTACTTTGAGTGTCTTAAATAAAACCTATGCAACACTTTAAAGATCCCTTTCAATTTAAAATATGATTATCTAGCAAAGTTAGTATAGTCTGCTTATATTTACTTTGAAAAGTGGTTCAGCCTATTTTAGATGATTTCTTTTATGTTTACATTACAGAATTCAGTTCATGACTAACAAATCTTAATGAGCGTTAAATAAAAAGTTTGGCTATATAATGATAATATTGTTTCACTACACATGATGACTTTCACCTGCAACAATCCCAAGCCCCTAAAGAGACACTTCTTTTCTGACAGTGTCCAATATTTTTTCTTCTGCAGCGTCTTCCCTGAAGTACGTGAGTGAGAGTGTCGTGAATCGCTCATGGTTCGTCGCTCTGTTTACGTCGCCTGCATAAATTATGGGAGCACGGCTTCTTCTATATGGTCTATATGGTCTGAGGTCGGTTTCTATTGCTCTGACACCAATTTCAGCTAATAATTTCCTACACACCTCAACCCCTCAACCCCCAACAGCCCGACCGCCCAACGCTCTGATTTGCATTCCTTTTGAATTTTAATCGCTCCATTAACTATAAATATTTCTTTCATTGATGTGTGCGCAACTCCGCCTCCTTCGATTCCGCCTATTATTCGTATTATTCCCTCTGCTTTGCCGCTATTTCTTGGCCCGATTGTGGCCGGTTCTGGGTTCTCAGTTCCCGGTTTTAACCACGTTATCTTCTCGTGTTTATACATATGTCGTGCGGTTGCTGCTTGATGGGCATTTCTAGGGGTTTTGCCCCGAAGAACAATGCGAAAGTGAAGAGGCGTCTCTTCAACTGCATTTTAAATTCAAGTAGGTTTCCCTCCAACACGAAAGTCTTTGGGAACCCAGAACACCGGTGTTCCCAATGCCTGAACTCCCCCATAAAAGTTCTGAAACCCTTCCGCAACTCCTTATCGCGCGACATATCTGGAAATTTGGTGTATTTTTCCTGGAGAGGCATGGGCAACTTTTTTTGATGACTAATAAAACCCTCGAAACGGGCTATTAAAAATCGAAATTTAAGCCGAGACTGAGAGACAGGAGGGTAAAAGTGTCGCCGGCATTTCAAAATCGACCGAAAAAGAAAACCAAACACAAAGTCCAATCAAAAATCGTTTATTTAACCCATAAATCCGAGGTTTTTTCAGGGAGCGGGGGTGCAGAAATACCCCCAAAGGAAGCTCAGGGAACGAACGTGTCTAAAATGCTGAGAACTCCCTCGATTCACTCGGTTCACGGAATTTGCATTGACGACAGCAGTAAGAAGACGCCTTGACTTCAGTTGCCAATTTGGCCGAGTCTCGGGAACCGAGAGACAAAGGAACGAGCAGGCCCAGAAATAAACAAAAAGTGTTTCACGCCAAAGCAAATAAACAAAAACAAAAGCGAAACATAAACGAAGGAAAAGCAAAACAAAAGCGAAACTACACTATGGAATACGAAGTCTGGAATACCCTTAAAATGGCAAGGTATAACTAATGACCTAAAAAACAGTCATATTATACAATATCAAGAACATCTGATATTGAAAACCTACAAGTTGTATAAAATTTTAATAAAACAGTATTTATTTAACAGTGATTAGTAACACTATTAAGATGGTCACCACATCCCAATCTCTGCTGAGATATTGATTGATATATAAATTACCTATCAGTTAATAAAAGTGTTGTATGTTAAATCTTTTAAGGACTTATTATAAACTGAGTGCTGGTCTTAATATAAAACCTCTATGATAGTGTATGAAAAAATCAAAACCAAGTCAGCAAGCAGCGAAAGAACCCAGAAGAAAGAAACCAAGTCGATAGAGCGCACAGTGGGCAGACTGCCAGAACGGACCTTAAATTCCGTGGATGGCGGCGATGAGATAAGGGAACCCCAGTACCATTTTGTATATTTGGAGTATGGACTCCAACGTCGATTTGCTTATCGGTCGAACCTGAAGTGTCTGCCATGGCTCCATTATTTACTTTTTCCCGTTTCTGGGCGGGGGATCCGCTGAAATGTGGGACACTGATAGTACAATGCTTTGCTTGTTAGCTGATAGCAAATGAATGGGATGACACGGCGTGGGAATTCGCCTCCCAGTGATTCATGGCCGGCGAAAACTTGTGAGCTCTTCAATTTGGCCGAAACAGCTCAATATCTTCCTATGATTGCGCCAATGAGCATGACTAAATAAGCGAGGAACGTGTGTTTCTCGATGATTGGAGAATGTCGGTCGTCGCTGCTTTTTCAGCTTTTCTACTTCTTCGGCAGATACTATTTTTCATCAGATACTCTTGTCGTGTGTCGCAATCTCGGGTCGCCATCATCATCAACTCGAGGGTCTGATTATCATTCCGAGTTTGTTGCCGTTGGCAGCCATCTCGATGGCAGTTTGCGGGGACTCTCTAGTCTGGGCTGCAAGTCCATTAACTTTCTTGTTCTATTTATATTTATGAGTTCTTATAGTTTTACTTTAAAACGTAAATCATTTTTGTTGCGGTTCTGTTAAGGGTTATGGGATTGTTTGAAACCATGATATCTCTGTCTGAAGTAATTCAAAAGGCCAACATTTTGTAGTCCTAAATATTTAACCTATAGATGATTTTTAATAAAACTTGACATTATTCAACTTTTAGATTAGAAACCTTTATCCCAATTAAATTATTTTTCATGTTACAATTACTAAGATTGAATTAAAATTCAAAAAAACAATTTCTCTGTTATTTTTCCAATGCATCCAATCGTGCATCATTTTTTTTTTTGATTAATAAGCACATTAAATCTGTTCAAAAAATTCCTCAGTCATCTTATCATAATGAAAATCATCATCATTTTTCAATGTAATGAACCAAATAATGACTTTTGACTCTTTTATCTCATATAAGCTAATTCTACCCGAATTTCATTGTTATCGAGGCACCACTGTTCGTCCAAATTACCCTTTCTTTTCTTTCTTTCTTGTTTTATGGCTCATTTTGGTTTTTGTTGTGGTTTTTTTAGTGTTTGAGGCAGCGGCAAAAATATTCGCATTCTTTGAGCTCGGATCTTAAGGTCTTTGGAAGCCGGTCCCCGGTTTTTGTCCATACACATGTATGTATGCGAGGTTGTATCTGCGTTTCTTCTTGGTTCTTGGTGCTTTCTTTATCGCACGGATTTATGCAACTTTTGTTGCTGCTAGTTTTTATTTAAAAATGTTTACTTTTATGACTTTTTTGGCCCGGCCTGACCCTCCTGTGCCACCCATCTTAACCCGCCCTCTTGCGATTCAATGTCAACGGCAGCAGCAGCCCGCAGTGAGAGAGATGGCCATACAGGGAGTGAAAGAGAGGGGTTTACTGGGGGGAAAGAGAGGGCGAGGCAAGAACAATGTGCGTGCTGTTCTTGCAATCGTCTGACGATGATGATTCATAAAAATGCGACTGCAGGCGGACGACTATAACAGGAAAATCAAGTGGAATGTGGCACTGCAGCTGCAGCAGCTGCTTCCCCCGCCCTCCGTATTCCCTCCCCACATCCTCCCCCTATTCAGAATATATATATATATACGATATATAGGTGCGGGTGAGGCGACGACGTCGCGACTCTACCGAAATTGCAAACGAAGCGCAGCCAGCGATGTCGCGACGTCAGCTGACACAATGGGTTGCCATTGTGCTGGTACAGTGGGCCCCAGTTACATGAGCCCCCGCTGTGAGGTCTTGGGATTAGCCAGAACTTAGCTGGGTCTTTTTCAAGCTCAAAGCTGGATTTATATGCGGCTATGGGAGTCATCTTTACATGTGATATATTAACAGAGAAACTATTTAAAACGTTAGGCATTATACACATTTCCCAAATTAAGTTAAAACTAAATGAAGTGAAAAATGTAGTCCTAATAAATACAACAAATTTACCTTAAAAAACCATTTAAAACATGATATAGTTTAATATAAAGTAGGCAAGTAATTAAATTACAATATCGAGAGACCCCTGTACAATAAATACAAAATGCAAGAGGCTGGAGAAAATTTTGACTGCTGCCGCCAAAGGCAACATTGCAATATAAATATCTAGGAACTTGACGTTTTCAATTCATGTAGATTGAAACTAAACTTGCCATCATGCAATACGATTTAAGCACAAACTTTAATTGCACTCAACTACAACTCAACAACTAAACTGGACGTTTCTATTAAGAAAAGCGTGATCTAATATGAAATGCAAGAAGCTTCTAGGGAAGAACTTCAGACTAATGGTGAAGCCAGAGTTCCATCCACTTGTTTTTGAGGAATCTCTTTAATGAACGAGAATTCAGAGGTCACATACAATTTGACGTCCTCTGAACTTGACCGGCCTTTTAGCATGGGACTTTTAAAAGGCGTGCCAATTTGATCTCTTTGAAATGGTATGAAGTGAGTAATGTGCATATTTGTTAGGTGCCACATGATTTTGGTGAATCATTATACATTCCACGAATTTTCTGGGTTCTATTTATAGGTCATAAATCCCCATCGTGACGAAAAATGTCTCTATTTAAATCTAAATGCATATGCTACAGATTATGTGGAATAAAGCCAATAAAAAGGTCATAAATTAACATATTACAATCTACGAAATAGTTTAAATAGTTTGGGATATTAGGCCTGTCCCACAACTCTTTTAGTAGGAACCATCCACTATACCTATTACCCAATAAATATGACATTCTAATCTGTATAACGTAATCAGTGCATTAAATTATTTCACCGATATCATGACTAATGATTATTGAACGTAATAAAAAGAGTAAAGCTTTCCAGTGATTTCGCACTGGAAATGCAATTAATTTTTCCTCCATTATCAGTTACTTATTTTTAGCTTCTTACTAAGGACAATAAAAAAATATTTTAAATTCCCATTCGATCTAATCAATAAGAATATTGACCAACGAAATATGTTATTTCCATTATAATAAAATTGACACTGATTGTCTTCAAGATAAGGATCACAGATCTTATTTTTAAGCAATCCTATTAGTAGCACTTAATAAGCCCCACAATCTAGACAGTGATCCTAACTAAGTGATCTAATAAGCCCCATAATCTAGACGCTCGTCCTATCAGAAACCAGTAGTACTTGTTTAAATAATCAATTCTAATCAGAACCCCAGACCTCTTCTCACCTGGGAATGCTGATCAGGTAGCTGAGGAGGCGCCTCAGATCCTCCGGCTTGAGGCGATCCCTGCGGGGCGTGGCCGGGAAGCAGAGGAGTGGTCCGCCGCGCCGATCCCGTCCGCCGGTGAGGAAGACGACCCGCTCCTGCAGGAGCGTCAAGAGATCCCTGGCCCGCTGACCATCCATTTCGGCGAGGGGGGGTTAATCGGGGGCGGCTCTTCGCCCAGGGGTTAAGCACTACAGAGGGTTAATCACCGGACCTCCGCCCGACTTTGTTTAGTCCAACGTTGGGATGCACTGCAGCATAACGAATTCCAGCCTCGAATTTCACTTGGTTCGGCTCTGTTATTAGTTATTATTATGATCCGCTGCTTTTGTTATTCATTGATTTTCGCGAATTTCTCGCTGGCATTTTCATGGTCACTCTTCTGTTGTTGTTGTTGTTGTGTTTCGTTGCGTTGCGGTTTTTTCGTGTGTTTGTTTGTTTGTGTGGGTGGGGAAAATGAATGGAAAAGCGTGGATACGGATTAGCAATGGGTATTTCTCTGGGTTTTCTACATTTTGCCCACTATTTGCATATAATTCGTGTAGTTTTCCTATTTTTAGACGCAAAAGTGGAGTTTTTTTCTTCAGTCACCCTGGCAATTTTGTGCGAGTGGGAGTGAGAGGGAGATACAAACAGACAAACACACACACACAGGCGCATAGGGGGTGCACATAGGGTATATACACATATGTACTCCCGTTAAAGGCCATAAATCACACGCAAACACAAAAACATCAAATAAAACTCGCCCGAAACACACACACACTGGCACATTCGCCACTTCGCACTGGTCAAAAACCCACTAAATATTTTAATTGCCTCGATTTGAACACAAACTCCAGATGTATATATAGAATGCGTACATATGTACATCTGTATCATCACATCATCCGCAAGCAGTTCTCTTGCGTCTTGGCTCTTCTTCTTGCCACTGCTTGTGCCACAAATTGATTTTTTTCACTCGCGCTGCTCTTGTTTTCCACTCGCCCCTGCCGCTGGGAAAACCGCTGGATTACCGTTGCACGCAGTTCGCGAATCGGCGCGCGCTATTGGGCGCTTTTCATTTTTCAGGAAACCGCGATTTTCCGACGCTGTTTGTTTAAACAAATTGGATTAGTATGACCGCGGAGCTGTGGGAGAAACATACTTCACACGATTTGCACCCCCGAACGGTCACTCCAAAATCGATTTCATCAGATTGTTATCGATATTTGCGCTTAGTTCGTGCGATTGTTCCGCATGTGCATATCGATATTATTGTGCTTTTAAATTTGCGCGGGCTTTTCGTTTCAATAATTGGTTTGAGTCCTCGCTAACTATCGATAACAGTCCAAAACAGCTGATCCCAACAGGGCTGCCAACTCGGGTGTTAGGTAAACACTGTTAACTGACTAACATTGCATATAACATAAGTAAATAAAAATTATTATTATCATTGTCAATAATACATATTTATAGTAAAAATTTTAAATTAAATCATTTTTGTTTGTTGTGTTGACTTCTTTTTATCCACTTACTTACTTACGCTGAGGCTATCTCATTTTTTACTGACACTTACGGTGGCTTACGTTTTGCCGACCTTACGTTGTTACGTTGTTTGTAAATTTGTAAACGAATCCACTTTAGAGGTGAAAATCGCGGAATAGTTATTGACTCCCCGTTCAAATAAACTGAATATATCTGCAAACATTTTACGCAAAATCAAGAACTCGTTCCGCCAGCGCAAGAAGAAGAACCGACCGCGGCAGGCCACGCCCCCACTGCCAGCCGCCCCCTTAGCCGGAAGTTCCGCCTGCTGCTCCTCGAACTTTGTCCCGCGGAGCACCCACTTTCCGCGGGCGGAGCACCCCGAGGCCAAGAGTTCCAGGGATTCCAGGGACCACGCCGCCAGAATGGAGAGCAACCTGAACAGGATCATCCGGGAATCGGCCAAGCTGAAGCTCAGCGGACAGCTCAGCAAATACACGAATGTTATGAAGGGTAAAACACAATATATAGTATAGTCACACAAGCTAATCCCGGCTCTTTTTCCAGGATGGCAGTACCGCTGGTTCACCGTGGACGCAAAGACGGGATCGCTGAGCTACTACCTGTGCGACTCCTCGACGGTCGGCGATGACATCGCCCCCTCGCCCCACGTCCTCGCCAGTGCGCCCCGCGGTCAGGTGCAGTTGGCCGGCGCAGTGGTCTATCCGAGTGACGAGGACTCCAGGACCTTTGCCATCGCCTGCGCCTCCGGCGACACGGTGAAGCTGAGGGCCAACGATGCCCGGGCCAGGCAGGAGTGGGTGGATGGCCTGCGGGCGGTGGTCGAGAGCCACATGAAGGCCATGGACATCAGCAACTCGTCGCCACTTCCTCCGCGAGAACTGCTCGCCGCCTCCGATGCCATGGTTTCGGCTCGCCAAGCTCTGTTTCTCACGGAGCAATGGTATGTGATCGAATCTTGAGTACTTTTTAGGGAGCTATTATTGTAAAATACCTTCCAGCAACGCTTCTCTGTCCAGGGCCATCGAGAGCATCGACTGTGCTTCCTTCTCGCCCACGGATCCCGATCTTCTCCTGCTCAAGGCCATCTCGACGGCCAGCACCCAGTGCCTGCATCAGTGCTTGGGGCTGCTGCAACGCCACCAGGAGATCAACCAGCCGCCGGCGGACTCCGCCCTTGTGCTTTGAGATCCAAAGATAGATTCCAGTATCCTCTATGATATGCCCCAATAAACACTAAGATAAACCGCATTGCAAGATAAGATTGAGGAAGAATCCTTTGAGATCCAAACTTAGTTCCCTGTGCCCACCATGATATACCCAAATGCAATGACAAGACTTTCCGGGTTGGGTTACTTTTCAATGTTTTTATAAAATACTTTTGTTCGTTTCGGTTTTCCATTTTCCATTTTTCGCTTTTTGTTTTCTTGGATTAATTAGAACATTCATTTCGACATTTAAAGTTAATTTGAACATAAAGTTTGCACTAAAGTTTATAGAAAATGTTGAGTTTTGGACTTGGACTGGGACGCGCTGGTCCAGATCGTACAAAGATACACAATATCCAGGAGATTCTAACCGCTAACTCTTGCCATTGTTTATATTACATCCTATTCCGAAAGTAATTCGTTAAGTTTCGATACGTGTGGAACATCAAAGTCTATGGGGGGACCGGGGATTACATAGATACTTATATATCGTGTTTATATACGGGCTATGGCTATGGTAGATGTTCTTGCGTCTGCAAAAATAGTTGTGTTTATCCGCTATCGTAATTAACTCTGTCCGATTAATCAATTGTGTGCTTGCCAAACGAAACGCTGCCGAAAGTACGCCTAAAGGGGTTAAACCAAAGCTGTATAGTACGTCCTCTCGATATTCCATCCCATCGTAATGTCGCCAGACTTGCCAAATAAACCCACGAGTTCTGCTGCGAGTCCCTGGCCTCGCCTTTCGCCGGGACAGAAGTGGAGCAGAGTCCAAATTAAGGCTAGAAAAGGCACTTTAGAAGGGGATCTAGTGGGGTCAGAGGGTTAGTTCTCGGGGCTTGTGTCGGGTATCCAATAGTCTCAAATCAGGGGCCAAAGGCTCGACCGGATCGCAGCAGCAGTCGCTATAAAAAATTTCGCTTCTAAATTTTGTCTAAAAATTTCGCTTGTATAAATACGTTTAAAAAAGTTCACTTGTTTTGTTACTTGTTTCATTCTTTTTACAAATTTTGTTTGCGGTGTGTTCATCGCTGAATTTAATTCCGAAAGGCATTTTTTGTGAATTTCTTTTTTATCGTTAAGCCTAAACATTAAATTTAGTTGATTCCACTTGCGTTTGAAGCCAAGTGCTTCGGTTTCTCTTCTTTTTTAGTAATTTTGTACATTTTTCATTCTCGCTTCTTGTAAATTATAGTCTAAACCAAAGTCGGGCACACAATTACCAAGTTAAGTCCGCTTAAACTCTTTTGATTTGTTTTACATGTAATTAATATTATGCTGCTGGGGCTGGTTTCCGTTTCTATTTCGGTTTAATTGAAGTTTCATATCTGTTTCGGTTGGATTGTGGAATGTTCCGGGGTTCTCCTTCCACCTCAGCTGTAACTTACAACTAAAGAGATCGATCGCTATTTATTTAGTTAGACTGATGGACTATAACATAATAATACTTTCAATTTTGATTCAATAAGTACGCTAGGAATAGAAACTAGGTGGCGAAGATCGCGTGGAGGAAACTAGAGTAAGACTGGCCGATGGACACGTATACCTTGGTTAACCACGGAGATAATGTACATCTTTAAATACTAAACAAAAGTAACGATTAAAGCTTACATTTAAATTCGTTTGAATATCGGTTTTAGGATTTTTGGAAAGTGAAAAACCAGGATTCTCGGGGGAAACCTTTAAAATGTATTTAACTTTTAAAGCTAGTTTATTTACATTCCTTCGAATAAAGTTGATTTTTTGTGGAATAAAATAACCTTTTGTACATTTTAAGGATGTATTGCTTAATAGGATTATCTGATCGACACTTAAATTAAAATGTGGATTTTTTATTTAGTGATTTAACCAAGGTATAGGTGCACATGGGTCAAGTAAAGCTGCAGGAGCTTCTGATCTTAGTTAAGCCATCATCACTTCATAACCTTCTCTCATAACTCTCCTCATTTCATCCCCTTTTACTCGCTAGTGGTGGTGATGGGTTCCACTTTGATGCCCCCACTGCTCGAGGAAGCGGCCGCATCTGTGGCCGCGGCTGCTGAAGACCCTCCGGCCGATCTCTCCGGAGGCGCTGCGCCCGCTGCCGCTGAGGAGGAGGAGGAGGAGACACTGGCGCCCACCAGCTCGGCCAGATCCTCGGCGAAGAGTCGGCTGGGCGAGAACTCCCGCTTGTAGCCGGCCATGTCCAGGCCCAGATCACCGAGCGGGGAGTGGAGCCGCGGAGTCTCGCTGCGCAGGGGACTGCCCTTGGCCTTGGGATTGGGGTGGAGCTGGCCCAGCGAGGAGGAGGAGGCCGAGGAACTGGAGCTGGCGCCGAAACCGGACTTGTGGGGCACCTGGTGGCCGCCTTGATGGTGCTGTTGCTGTTGCTGCTGGTGGTGGTGCAAGTGGGCCTGCTGCTGCTGCAGGTGGAGCTGCTGCAGGTGGTGGTGCGCCGCCTGCTGCTGCTGCTGCTGGTGGTGCGCCGCCTGCTGCTGCTGCTGGTGGTGCAGGGCAACGGCCATGCTGGGCGGCAGATTCGGCAGGAGGCCAGCGGGACCGCATGGCGAGGGTGCATGCCTGGGCCCCGAGCCGCTGCTCAAGGCCGGCGAGATGCTGGCCCTGCCTCCGCCCGCTCCTGGCACCCCCACGCCGCCACCCACTCCGGGATGGGGCGGCAGGTTGAACAAGCCGGGCGGAACGGGCGGTGGTCCCGCCTCCCCGTGCTGATGCTGCACGGCCGCTGCCATTTGCATCTGCTGTCGGATGTTGTGGGCCACTGCGGCCACCGCAGCGGCAGTTTCCTGCGACATGTGCTGCTCACCAGCCACTCCGCCCACCCCGGCCTGCGGACCGCTGCCGTTCGGACAGGCCAGCGAGCTGGGCGCTCCTGCCAGGGCGCCACTTGCGCCGGGGTAGCTCAGGGGAAGGTCCTGCAAGGGAAACGCGGGCTAACCCGAGGGCAGTTAGTTCAGTTCGAGGGGAGCTCCTGTGAGTGCGGTATAATTCGCTAAGCTGCATTGCCTACTCAATCAACCAAGTCCAATTTGGAGATTACATTTCTGGCCTTAGCTATTCCTCGACTTTCAATAGGTTTTAAGAAAAAGGAGCTCATTAAACGAATCATATTTAGCTTACTAATTTAAATTTCATTCCAGCAATATGCCCAGCAAAGGGGCGGAGCCACTCAGCGAACTATACCGCAGTAATTACCTACCGAATGCCGACCGTAGGGCGGCATGTGAGTCGCCAGGCTGTCGTCCTTGATGTCCTTGGTGTCGCGGAAAACCACCGTCTTAATGACGCCCTTGATGTGCTCGTCGGGCCAGATGCCCAGGAGGATCCTCTGCGGTCTGCCGCGCCCCTTGGGCCGCAGGTCCGGCCCGCCGTCGATGGAGGGTCCCAGCATGTTGTGCACCCGGTTGGCGTAGAGCACGAAGGTGGGGTACGGGATGTCGTACTTGCGGGCGGCCTGCGACAGCGAGAGCCCCTCCTTCAGCACACTGAAGATGGCCTCGGCCATGGTTTCGGGGCGCCAGGACTTCAGGGGACCCCGCTCGCGGAAGCGCATGTGGTGCATCAGGTTCTGGTTGGTGTTCCAGCACTTTTGCCACATCGACTGCAGCTGGTACTGGTAGCTGTCTGCTGAAAGATCAGGAGGGGCGAAGGGCCCACGATCAGATGTTTCCACCCCGTCGACTGGGTTGCTCTACAAACCTGCCAACGTGGATCCGGTGGCCCCCATCCAGGCGTGTGAGTTCTCCATCATTTTGGCCTGCAAGTACAGAGATTCAGGTATGAGCAAGTGGGGAAATAGAAGAAAGAGCTTGGCCCGGTCGAGGGGTGCTTCAATTAATTGTGAGACTCGCTTTGGTTAGCGCTCGATGCGCCGTCCCCTCTTGTCTCGTCTTGGTTCGAGTTCCCGCCCACCTTTGCCCTTTGATTGACATGCAAAATCGACCTATTTTCGTTTAATTTCATTTTTTGTGCTTTGATATCCATGTATAATGTGGGTTTGTTGTTTCTGAGGTTGTGTTTGCCAGAGATTGCAGTTGGGTATTGCGAATATGTTAGGATATTATTCTTTAAAATCATAGTTTTTTGCTTAAATTTTGATTTCCTGGATTGATTTTTTAGTTTTAGTAATCAATTCAGAGTAAAAAAGAGTGAAAAGTGTCTAAAAGTATGCTAACACAATATCTACCACATCTATTAGTTAATGTAGCATACTTTTAGACGCGAAATTAAAGAAGTTCGAAACCTCTAGAGATTTTATTTAATACCAGCTAAATATTGACTCACAAATTCTATTATTAATTATTTAGTTTCATTTTTTAAAGTGCATTTTTTATAATTACCTTTTTATAACTATTAATCGTAACTTTCATTACTAGAAAGTCACAAAATCTGTGTCTTATTAAAGGAGGGGATACTTTCTGCCCAAACCACAGAGACTTTTATGGAACTGTGTTCTAATTCGAATTGCAACGTCAACGATACATTTAACTGGCTGACTGAACCTTCGAGTGGCGACTTGGCTGTCGTTGCTGCGGCTGTCTGTTTGCCGACTGTCGAGTGGCTCGCATCGAATTCACTAATTGCATAACAAAGTAACATTTGCATATTGTTCTACATATGTTAGTGGCTGGCTTTGGATTCGGATTCGGATTCGGATCCACCTTGTCGATAACTTCATTACAAAATTTCCATGCACGTGGAGTGTGGAAAAAAACACAACAGACTATAGTGGTACTGGCTCAGGTGGGCACTTGTGCCCATTTAGCGTTAAGTATTACTTGTAACTTTTTGCCATGTGACTGACTGAGAGTGCTCCTATCCACTTCGTCCGTATTCCGTTTTCCGTTTCCCCTGCCCTTTTCCACGGGCCAGACAACGTGGCGATGTTCTCAGAAATCGTTGCCTAGTTTTATGGGTCCAGGACATGCAATGGATGGATTTACTTTTCGGCTCATTACGCCGCAAATTATATATTATTCACAAGTTTTTCTTTTTCGTCGGCTAAAATTGCTTTATTTGGGGAGGGTGACTAATCCGCTAGACCCCAACATCACTATTAGTTCTTAAACAGCACATATCTGTTGTCTGCTACCCATTGGAATGTAGCTAATGCTATGCAAATATTTTTAAAAATATCTTTAGATAAGTTGTGCCTATAAAATTTCTAGAGGCTTAAACTCATTTTTAAGAAAAGGTGTCTAAAAGTATGCATAGATTTATTTTACTAGTTAGAAACAATGTTCAATGTTTTGTAGCATAGGTTTAAAATCTCTGTTTATATAATTATAGGAATTTTACCTCTAGTTTGGCCAAGTTTAAGTTGGTTTTGCGACTCTGTGGCTGCTAAATACTAGCGACTATTGAGACTAATCACGCTAATGCCCAAATCTGTCTCAAAGCGCGGACGACAGATGGCGCTGCTGTGCGTCCGTGTGAGCCCGAATGACAGTGTGCGTGTGTGTGGTTATCCAGCTGCAGTTGCCTTCAATAATACGCCACGCCAAATGCCAAATAATTTATTTATTATATGTGCAGCTGACCAAAGCTGACTGGACCCCACACAAACACACTCACAAACATATGGTCGGAGGTATATATATCCAGAGTCCTGAGTGAGATTTCATTACAACTCATTTGACAGTCTTGGTGCACTCGACGCTGCCAAAATGTCATAGCTGAGTGGCATGCACCGAAAGGGGGCAGCGGGGTGCCGGCCCAGGGAGTTACCCACGACCCACCGCCCACCACTCCCCAAATCCTCCGATTTCCCCGATCCCCCGATCCCATATCCAGCGGATTAGCGGACACGCATCGCGCACTGCTCCTACACCACCTACTCTTTTTACAGTAGGAACTCTATTTGTTGAACATTCATAATTCACATTTATCGAATTTAAAAAAAAGTCATTTTAAGATCATATTAACAATTCTAAGGGTGTATAAAAGTATGCAGCAAAATATCTATCATCGACTTCCGGGTTCAAAATATATTGTTGCATACCCTTAGATACCTTTATAAGTTATTAAGCAATTATGTGTTTAATAATAATACATTTTTAATAATGATTATTCAAATTTATATTTGAATTTTTTGGTACAGCTAAAATTGTAGTAATTTGTATATCACGGGGAATAAGACGTATATCTGTATAGGTAAAAAAACAAGTTTTGAGATAGTGTTTTACGTTTAAAGGTGGCACCCAAAAAGTTCAAAAAACTATGTTCATCTTGAAATGCCTACTGCAGACATTTTTCCCACTTTTGGAACTTCCACTGTACCTCATTTGTGAGCCTCAACACGAAATTAAGCGAAATGAAGTTGACCACGCTTCGATTTTGGCATCAAAGCGAACCGTTACCGCTTGCTGCTTGACCCAACCGGCCCCCCTCGGCCACGCCTTCCTTGCCGCCCCCGCCCACGCCCCAGCCACGCCCCCTGCCTTTGCCGGTGCACTTGCTGCATGCATTGTTAATACAATTCGAGTCCAACGTCAATAACCAAGTGCCACGAATGGACCATTAGTTGAGTTGCGTGGAGTTGAGTTGCGCTGCGTTTCGCCTGATGCGGGCCCAGTCTATATGTCTATATGTCTATATGGCATATCTGAAACACCACAAAGAGGGAGCCCCACCCACATGTGGGCATCTGCATTTATGTATTCTATATATAATTATGCGGCTTAGCGATTGCTTTGCCTTGGCGGATTCCTCCAATCGGCCCCGAAATCCACGGCACTCAACTGTGTTTGATGGCCCGGACAGGCAGCGAATTTAATCAATAGTAAAACTAGTTTCTTAAAGCTAGGATTAATTTCCTGCAGTAGAATATGCACCTTCACAAACTTCAAATTGTTAAATTAATGTTGATCTAGGTATTTCCAAAAGATTAATTGGGAAAAGCCCAAGTCTAAGTTTAAACGTGAATCAATTTTGATTGAAAATGCAGAATATTTTGTGGTGATTGCATAGAAATTATTCTAAGTAGCTAAGCTTAACACAAACTTCTGTTCAATCATATTTGGTCATGTCTTAAAATGGTGGCTGCATATTAGTTATACTTAAATAAATAAGACAGCTTTCTAACTAGTTGTATAATTTCATTTTCGTATGCTTCTTTAATAAAGCTTTGCTAATTTAGTTTAGATAATGACAGGCAGACTTTTTAAAAAATTATAAACAGATATTTTTTAACGTATTTAATATCCTAGGTAAAATTGAAATGCAACCAAAGTTCTAAAGCCTACAAATTCCTTAAGATTTTTTATTACCAGGTAGGGCTGATTTAAATTGAAAACAGTTCAAAGCTATAAAGAACTTGTCTCTTTCCCATCGATCCCCCTTTTTGGGGCTGACTTTACGGATGGTCCCAAATTGGATTATCTAAAAACGTTGGGGCGTTCGCATCTTCCGCCATTTTCTGTCTGGAAACGCCCCATGTCATAAAATCGGGAAGAAGGCGTTCCGTGCGAAACCGAAACCTCTCTTTTTTTAAGTCAACCTCGGCCTTTTTGAGGCAGGTTTCGAGCTAAACCCTCTGCCAGAATTCTGGTCTCTAGTCAGGCGTTAAGACCGCATCAATTGGGCGTGAAAGAGAAGTAACTCCCTTGCCATGACCCCGGAAAATAGTCCTATTCGAGCGGCACTTGTGCGGCTCTTCTGAGGTTTTCGACTGCGGGGTGGCTGCCACAATTTCTGATTCGCCCAAGCAACAAGCCTCAGACGCAGTTGTCGTGGCAATGCAATTTAGCCAAATTCGCAGCAGGAAACGCCAGCGGATAGGCAAGGGCAACCAGTTCTCTAATGTCTGATGTGAGGAGAGTGCCAGAAAAAATAAATAAAGACCTTGGTAGTGGGGGTATCGAAGAAAACATACCCATTACTTACAGTGGGATATTATTTAAACATGTTAAGGGGTACCTAAGAATGACTTAGAGATTTGGTATAATATTTTTTGATTCCTGTCTATTCTATTTTTCATTGCATACTTTTATGCATTTATTTTAATTTCCTTGAACTCCCACAAAATATATCATAATTGTGAATAATACTATTTAAAAAAACCTAAACGAATTTTTCTGAAATGCAATACAGATTTTTACTTCACACATTGCTTTATTCATTACTTGAACTATTAAAGCCTGAGCTTATACCATCATAAATTATTTGAATGGAATTTCCCTGCATACTTTTAGACATCTTTAAGAACCCTGGGCTATCCTTATATTTTTTTTTAGTAGTTTCTGTGTACTGTTACTAACATTCGACATTTGTTTTTTTTTATTAAATTATTTAATTACCAATGCTCTAAATTGTCTTACATTTCGCCACATCAAAATCGATATACCCTTGTGTTTGTTGAGTACCCCTTAGAAAAAGACTCTGGCTTGTTGGGGAGAATCTACTGCCTCATCCCCTAGACTGGACAGATTTTCCGTGAAACACCCTTGCTTATTTTTTCAAGAATTTCCCAATCTTTTGACGCTCAGGAAATTGTCGAGTGCCGGTCCAAAGTGTGTGGCTGGGGTGTGATTGGGTTCGTGTTTGTGTAAAACCGAAAATTAATTAGCGTGAAAAGCATTATTGAAAGCCAAGTCAAATAGGCCAAAAACAAGTGAAGAGCTGGGAGGGGGCCAAAACTTGCATTAGTTTTTTGGTCTAAAACCAGAGTCGGGCTCATTTCCTAGGCTTTTCCTTGAAAGCAGGAAGGAGCACATGTGGTTTAATTTGATTTAGTCGCAAAACTTGCAGCCAATACTC